TAGATGGTGGTACAAGGATGATAATGGTGATTAGATGGTGGTACAAGGATGGGTACAATGGTGATGAGATGGTGGTACAAGGATGGTACAATGGTGATAAGATGGTGGTACAAGGATGGTACAATGGTGATAAGATGGTGGTACAAGGATGGTACAATGGTGATAAGATGGTGGTACAAGGATGGTACAATGGTGATGAGATGGTGGTGCAATGATGGTACAATGGTGATAAGATGGTGCAAGGATGGTACAATGGTGATGAGATGGTGGTACAAGGATGGTACAATGGTGATAAGATGGTGGTACAAGGATGGTACAAGATAAGATGGTGGTACAAGGATGGTACAATGGTGATAAGATGGTGGTACAAGGATGGTACAATGGTGATAAGATGGTGGTAAGGGATAACAATGGTGATAAGATGGTGGTACAAGGATGGTACAATGGTGATAAGATGGTGGTACAAGGATGGTACAATGGTGATGAGATGGTGAGACAAAATGTGACTCAGACGCTCACTAAAGATATAAGATATAAATTACCAATGTTATTACTACTACTACTACTACCACCACTACTATTACTACTACTACTACTACCACTACTACTACTACTACTACTACTACAACAATCATCATCCTTCACGTCGTCCATCGTCACAACAAAAAACCTTCCATAGTTACTTTGTTTTGATCACACGCACACAAACACGCACACAAACACGCACACAAACAAACACAGAGTAATTACTGATCCCCCCCTCTCCTACCACCGTCCTTCACCGTGGGGTATAATAACTGGTGGTGTTAATGGTTAAAGTCCCTTGGTAAATGCCTAGTTAATGTCGACCACCCTTGAGTCATTAAAACATGTGAACGATTTATATATTTTACCTGTAATAGATGGATAACATTAGGGGGGGGGAAGAGGAGAGGGAAGGAGGGGAGGAGGGAGAAAGGGAAGTAGGAAGAGGAGTAGGAGAGGAGGAAGGGAAGGAGGGAGAGAAGGATGGAAGGTAGAGAGGAAGAGATGGAAAGGGAAGGTTGAGGAAGGGAAGGAGAGTAAAGAGGAAGGAAGGAAGGAAGGAAGGAAGGAAGGAAGGGAAAAGAGAAGGGAATATCGAGAGAGAGAGAGAGAGAGAGAGAGAGAGAGAGAGAGAGAGAGAGAGAGAGAGAGAGAGAGAACTTGAAGGCCACAGGTTGACAAATCATTCACCAACTTTTCCATCAAAATTTCAAGTAAAAAAAAAAATCCCCTGAGTTGTGGGAGACACACACCAACTTGGCCTTGGTTTTTGTGCCTTTGTTGAAGAAAAACCCCACACACACGAGACAAAAGCGACCACGAGGACACGACAACAACAACAACATCGACGCTAAGAGGTGATTATTATATGTAATTTCACGTATTTAAAGTTCTGTGTGTGTGTGTGTGTGTGTGTGTGTGTGTGTGTGTGTGTGTGTGTGTGTGTGTGTGTGTGTGTGTGTGTGTGTGTGTAACGCCTGCTCTAAACCCATTACTTACACAGTTATTAAAAAATACAAAAGTTCAAAAATAGTGATGAACATTATTTTGAACATTTCCCCGTAATTAGATATACAAATAAGAACATTAAATACTACACAACAAGACTCAACAAGTTCACAAGTTCACCTGTCTCTCCACTCTCCACCCCCCACTTAGAAGTATTGAGAACCTCTGAGGGAGGAACCTAAAATGAACCCGTTAAATAAGTTCTGAGTTCTGACATTTCCACAAAGGGATAAAACTGAACCATTGAACTTTTGAGGACGAGGTTGGGTGAACGGGTCGTAAGGTTTAAGGTTTAAGTCAAGTGAAGGACCCGGTTTATTACGTCAGGTTGGTCTTCAAGTTACAAGGTTGGTTGCTTGTAGGAGGAGGAGGAGGAGGAGGAAGAGGAAGAGGGAGGAGGAGGGTGGAAGATGAGGGAAGAGGAGAAGAAGAGGAGGAGGAGGAAGGAGAGGGAGAGAAGATGAAGAGGAGAAGAAGAAGTAGGAATAAAGAAAGAAGGAAGAAGAGTGGGGGGTGAGAGAAGGAGGAGGAAGAACCAAATGAAATGAGGAAAAAGAAAAAAAAAGACTTGAGTTCAATGAACAGTATAAAGAAGAAGAGGATGGGATAGGCAGGGAAGAAGAAGGTGGGGGGGTAAGGATATCACAATAACCTAGCCTAGCATTGTCTAGCCTTTAATTAACCAACCCCAAACGTACTAACCTAACCAAACGTACTAACCTAACCCAACCAAACGTACTAACCTAACCTAACCAAACGTACTAACCTAACCCAACCAAACGTACTAACCTAACCAAACGTACTAACCTAACCTAACCAAACGTACTAACCTAACCTAACCAAACGTACTAACTCAACCTAACCAAACGTACTAAACTTAACCTAACCAAACGTACTAACCTAACCTAACCAAACGTAGTAACCTAACCTAACCAAACGTACTAACCTAACCTAACCCAATATACTCCTACCCTCCCCCCCCTCCCCTCTATCCAATATAAATACAATAATCAACATACACTGAATTATTTGGTCAATGCCACACACACCTGACTTACTTCTAAACGGTGGCTCTCAATTCCACGTAAAATAAATATTGATACCCACCCACCCCCCTGTGTGTGTGTGTGTGTGTGTGTGTGTGTGTGTGTGTTATTAATTTATTGTTAGTTGTAGTCTAATGTATTTGAAAACTCGATCTGTTTATCCATTTAAAGTGACTGACAGATAGAAATTAGTTCCTCTGATCGTTTTATTGTTTAGCTGTGAGAGATTATGGAACTGATAGAGTTATTTTTCACTCCATTCATTTATAAACATTATTTGATTTTTAGAGATTGTTATATAAATCATTAACTTTAACCCCCAGATGTGTGTATATTATATAAATCATTAACTTTAACCCCCAGATGTGTGTATATTATATAAATCATTAACTTTAACCCCCAGATGTGTGTATATTATATAAATCATTAACTTTAACCCCCAGATGTGTGTATATTATATAAATCATTAACTTTAACCCCCAGATGTGTGTATATTATATAAATCATTAACTTTAACCCCCAGATGTGTGTATATTATATAAATCATTAACTTAACCCCCAGATGTGTGTATATATTATATAAATAATTAACTTTAACCCCAGATGTGTGTATATTATATAAATCATTAACTTTAACCCCCAGATGTGTGTATATTATATAAATCATTAACTTTAACCCCCAGATGTGTGTATATTATATAAATCATTAACTTTAACCCCCAGATGTGTGTATATTATATAAATCATTAACTTTAACCCCCAGATGTGTGTATATTATATAAATAATTAGCCATTATTTACCCCGTCTTTGCCTTTTAGTTATATCACCCACCACATTGACCATATATATACAGCGCGTCTTTACTATATTAACCATGACTCCATTAACCTTGACCCCGTTATAAAGCACCACTGGGTCACCTTTAACCACCTTTAAAAACCAATCGGGACAAATTACAGGTAGGAACCATCTTCAAGCAGGTGACTAATTTAACCGGTGCTTCTGACGGCGGTGTCACTCCAGGCACTCACCTGTCGTCGCCTTCCCTCCCTGTCAGAGGTGTGTGTGTGTGTGTGTGATGCATTTATTACCGACTGTACTTAATCTTCTTTAAAAAAAATATGTTAACTCTCTCCTAGGGCTGATCACACCATCATCTCCTACCCACCACACTATCTCCTAGGGCTGCCCAAACCATCATCTCCCTACCCACCCACCACACCATCTCAGGGCCACCATCATCTCCTACCCACCCACCACACCATCCTAGGGCCCAAACCATCTCACCACCCACACCATCTCCTAGGGCTGTCCAAACCATCTCCCTACCCACCCACCACACCATCTCCTAGGGCTGCCCAAACCATCATCTCCTACCTACCCACCACACCATCTCCTAGGGCTGCCCAAACCATCATCTCTACCTACCCACCACACCATCTCCTAGGCTGTCCAAACCATCATCTCCTACCTACCCACCACACCATCTCCTAGGGCTGCCCAAACCATCATCTCCTACACCCACCACACCATCTCCTAGGGCTGCCCAAACCATCATCTCCTACCCACCCACCACACCATCTCCTAGGGCTGCCCAAACCATCATCTCCTACCTACCCGCCACACCACCTAGGGCTGCCCAAACCATCATCTCCCACCCACCACCACACCCCATCTCCTAGGGCTGCCCAAACCATCATCTCCTACCTACCCACCACACCATCTCCTAGGGCTGCCCACACCATCATCTCCCACCTACCCACCATACCATCTCCTAGGGCTGCCCACACCATCATCTCACCTACCCACCACACCATCTCCTAGGGCTGCCCAAACCATCATCTCCTACCTACCCACCACACCATCTCCTAGGGCTGCCCACACCATCATCTCCTACCAACCCACCACACCATCTCCTAGGGCTGCCCAAACCATCATCTCCTACCTACCCACCACACCATCTCCTAGGGCTGCCCACACCATCATCTCCTACCTACCCACCACAATACTTAGGGCTGCCCAAACCATCATCTCCTACCTACCCACCACACCATCTCCTAGGGCTGCCCACATCACAGCTCATGTACAGGTGTTAACTATAATCAATACACCCACCTACAGGTATACACCAATAAGCACATAAATCATTTTCAACACCTTATACTGAGACTGGATAAGCCACATTAATCTTCTTCTGTAATATTTAAATGTATCAAATTAATTTCCTCCAATAAATGAATCTTTTTGAAGGGGATAATTATAACTTTTGTGAGTTTTATTTATTGATCAAAAATAAATACTTTGATATACTTTTTTTATTTACCTTTTTTTAATTAATTGTATCTTTAATCATTATAAATTATCAAGTGTTCCTCAACGTCATAGGAATCTCAAAGTCGTTAGGTAATTTATGTCCATAGGTATCGTCACCGACCTGGCTCCCCTACGTCACCGACCTGGCTCCTCTACGTCACCGACCTGGCTCCTCTACGTCACCGACCTGGCTCCTCTACGTCACCGACCTGGCTCCTCTACGTCACGACCCGGACCCTACGTCCTACGTCCTCGTGCCGACCCTACTCCTCTACGTCACGACCTGGCTCCTCTACGTCACCGACCTGGTTCCTCTACGTCACCGACCTGGCCTCCGTCACCGACCTGGCCTCTCTACGTGCCGACTCGTCTACGTCACCGACCTGGCTCCTCTACGTCACTGACCTGGCTCCTCTGCGTCACCAGATACCAGTAAACAAACTCCCCCCTCCCAACGCCCTGATGATGAACTATATTAAAAGTGGCGCCTTGTCGACCTAACAGCTGACGGCACATCAAAGGACGGTGTTGCTGGCGGCGAGGTGACAGATGGAGGCGAGATTTCATCATTCCGTGAGATGACAGGTGAAGCAGGTGTGTACAGGTGACAGGAGAGACAGGTGTGTACAGGTGACAGAAGAGCAGATTATATTGGAAGAATGAGGCAGAGTGTGTACAGGGTAAAGGTAGAGGCAGGTGTGCACAGGTGATGGGAGACAGGTGTGTAAAGTGACAGAGGAGACAGGTGTGTACATATAACTCATCATCATACGACGTGATGTTGACTGTCTCACAAGATGTTGTTATTGTTGTTGTTATTGTTGTTGTTATTATTGTTGGTGGTTTGTCGACCTTCCGTGACGTCATATAAGAGAAATTAACATGTGTGTGTTAATTAATGTAACAAAATATACAATGACTATCAACTCGACCCACTACTATTATTACCATCACCACCACCACTACTATTATCACCACTACCACCATCACCTCTACCACCATCACTACTATTATCACCACTACCACCATCACTACCACCATCACCTCTACCACCATCACTACCATAATCACCTCTACCACCATCACCTCTACCACCATCACTACTATTATCTACCACCCCCATCTCTACCATCACTATATCACCTCTACCACCATCACCTCTACCACCACTACTTTCATTAATCACCACTACCACCATCACCTCTACCACCATCACCTCTACCACCATCACTACCATAATCACCTCTACCACCATCACCTCTACCACCATCACTACTATTATCACCACTACCACCATTACTTTCACCACCACCAGCACTATTACACCACCAGCACTATTACACCATCTCCACTACTACTATCACCACTACCACCATTCCCATACCACTACCCTACACCACCACTACTATCCCCCCCATCAACATCCGGCTTCTACCTCACCTTCACCCCTCCACCCTACCTCCCTTTATTCTCTCCAACCTAACCTAACCTAAACTAACCTAACCTAATTACGACAGCAAAAACACCTAAGAAAACAATGCTAATTAACCCGGATATGTAATTTACGCCCAGGTAAGGTAAGGTAAGGTAGTGTGTGTGTGTGTGTGTGTGTGTTGTGTGTGTGTGTGTGTGTGTGTGTGTGTGTGTGTGTGTGTGTGTGTGTCAGACGGGGTAAATGACGACAGAGTTCCCGGACACAGTTTTATCTCTGAGGGCTTTTGTTGTACTGAGTCTGGTAAGAGTTTGATTAAAAGTGAGGTCTTTTTTTCCAATGGGGGATGGGGAGGAAGGAGGGATGGGGGGAGGAGAAGGGGATGGGGGAGGGAGGAAAGGGGATGATTAGTCTTGAGTGAATGAGTGAGTGAGAAGACGGAGGAGGAGGAGGAGAAACAGGTGGAGGAAGGAGGATGAACAAATCAGCCCTGACACAACACGTAGAGTAATTATTTTATGTCAACGGGAAGACACAACCAACAGAATCTTTCCGTTGTGTTCTCAAAGGTTACGATTAACAGCATAAGGGGAGGGGTAAGGGTTGAGGGGGAGGTGGGAGGGAGGGTTAAGGAAGGGAGGGGAAGAGCTAAGTAATTTGTAGAGTTTGTCTACTTCAAATTAACACACTCTGATGTAATTACAGTGTACGATGTCTTAATTAGGCCTCTATACACCCCTTAATTGTCACTGAACTTAAAAAAGGAATTGGTTATCGTAATCAAAGGGTTAAGTTATCGTATTCAAAGGGTTAATCAAAGGGTTAAGTTGTCGTATTCAAAGGGTTAAGTTATCGTATTCAAGGGGCTCTGTTATCGTATTCAAAGGGTTAAGTTATCGTATTCAAGGGGTTATGTTATCGTATTCAAGGGGTTAAGTTATCGTATTCAAAGGGTTAAGTTATCGTATTGAAAGGGTTAAGTTATCGTATTGAAAGGGTTAAGTTATCGTACTCAAAGGGTTAAGTTATCGTATTCAAGGGGTTATGTTATCATATTCGAGGGTTAAATTATCGTACTCAAGGGTTATAATATTGTACTCACGGGGTCAGCATGGTACTCAAGGGAGAAAATATCGTACTCCATAGATTCTTTCATTGTACTCAGGAGTTAGCAT